GGGTTTTTTTTTTTTTTTTTTTTTTTTTTTTTTTTTTTTTTTGAGACAAGGCCTACCTGTGTAGTTCAGGCTGGCTGCAAATTCATACTGATTCTTCTGCCTCAGCCTCCAGAGTGCTGGGATTACAGGCTTGCACTGCTGGGTGTAGCTGGAATTAGGTTTGACAAGGTCTCAATCCAGATGGAAACAATTTCCTTTGGATGATACATCCTGAGGATAGAGTATTACTCCAATAACTCATTTTTGAAGATGCTGCTTAAAAACTGAGTGCTCACAATGATTTTGTAAAATACATTTCTATGCAAGAAAAGGAAACCTACAGCCCACTGAGAAGTCTTCCAAAATGAGTCACTATCCCGCGATGGCTGCCTAATCGGGACTTCGTTATAATCCTCAAATTCCAAAGTATTTTCTCTTTCCTTGTTCAGCTATGGGAAGTTTGAAAAAATTGATTTGTACTAGATGGGAAGGGGCTGGGGAGAGGGGAGACAGCCCCGGGCCCAGGGCACTTAGGAGGGTGGGAGGGGCTGAACCGGGAGATGCTCTTCTCCCTGCGTCTTGGACCGTCCCTGGGACTTGAGGGCTTCTGCTCAGGGTGGCAGCAGGCAGCCATCGAGGCAGACGTGGGCTGGGCATGGTGACCACAGCCAGGTTCTCTTCCCTCTCTTAGGGAGACGATGGACGAGACGGCGTGGGCAGTGAAGGCCGCAGAGGCAAAAAAGTACGTATTGGCCCAGACTCTGTTGCCACCTGGCTCCCGGGACATCTTCGGTGTCTTGCATTTTTGGAGAATGATTTCTTTAAATATTATTATATTCTAGTGATATTTTGTGTCGATTATTCCACCGAGCTTGTTTCTTTTATGAAGCAGTTTATTTTAGAGGATTTGTAGTTGACACCCCAAGCCGAGTCATTTATATTATTTCTGTCTTTTTCAGGGAGAAAGAGGATTCCCGGGGTACCCAGGACCAAAGGTGAACCTTCCTGGGGCGGTGGAGTGTCACCTTGTGCTTGGGCCCATAACTGAACATTGGGCATCTTTATCCTGGGCCACCCCGGGAGGACCCCCGCTCTGTCAGGTGGAGGTGATGCTTGTGAGGTTTAAATGGGGCAAAAGGCTGCAAAAAAAGTAAAAGACCTTTGCAAGCTTAAAAGTGCTGCTGTGTTTGCAGCACTGTTGTCACTGATGAAGCAAACTCCAGCCATATGCAGCAGGGCCTCTCTGCTCGGGGTTCACGTGCCACCCCTTGGCTGTCTCCGCAGGGTGTACCTGGTGAGCCCGGAGTGGATGGAGGACCAGGACCCAAAGGCGTCAGAGGGCGGAGGGTAAGCCGCAGCTGGGGGGTGGGTAGGCAGGAGTCGTCTCCACCCCGCTGCAGCCCGAGGGGTGTCCCGAGGCCTAGACAGGTCCTCGTCTCTGCAAGCCCAAGGCTGTGCTGAGTCTTGGTTAGCACAGGTAGAGGCAAACGTGGCTGATACCTATTTACAGCTTGCCATCCGGTTGAACAATAATTGTCATTATCCTTAGCTGACTGGAGAAGCTGGTCAGGCTAGGTCCACTCGCTGCCCAAGGGTCCGATGCACCAGCAGGGCCCCTCTTCTGGGGCTTTTGTGGTCAGCCTGTTTAGGGCTGGGAGGTGAGCATCTGTCTCACCTTAGCCTGCCACAGAACAAACACAACTGTGGCAGATTTGCATCCTGCTTTAGAATTTTGGCGACAAGTGAGCTCCCTGGAAGTGAGAGATTGCTTACGGAGGTGGGGTGTGCTGGACGGGTCCCTTCCCTCCCTGCTGCCCGCAGGACTGAACGACTCCCTCCCTCTTCTGCCACACTGAGTAACGTTTGTTCTGCCCCCTCCAGGGAAATTCAGGACCTCCTGGGATAGGTGGACAGAAGGGAGACCCCGGATTCCCAGGGCCATCTGTAAGTGTCCATCTGGGGCCAACCAAGCCGCTGGGGGTAGCAGGGGAGGGGTCGGAAACCCTTGCCCACCAAGAAGCTGGGGTGCATCCCTGTTGTTCCTTTTTTCTTGTTTTTAACCCACTTCCCTTCTGATATCAGAATGGGGAAAAGACTTCTTGAGTTATGGAGTAACAAAAGGCTTTTGAAGACTGGGGGTGTCCTCAGTGGCAGAGCATGTGTTGACCGGGTGTGAGGCCCTGGTTTGCTCCAGAGCCATGGACAGAAGACACAAATGTTTCTCGTGGTGCTCGGTGGTGTGAGGGATGTTTAATTTGCCCTTAGAGCTTCCTGGCAGAGGTTTGTGTGGAGGAGAAACCAGAGCGAGCAGACCTCAGTGCCTCTTGCTGGTAGCTCATAGAATACTTGTCTGCTGTGGGTGGGGACCTGCTTCCTCCGTCTGTAAAACCCCCTAGTTGCTGCTGATTTCTGGCTTGAGACTCACTACCCTGGCTTCTGCCAGGCAGGTGGATTTTTATTGCCTGAATCTTCATTTCCCTGTTTGGCTGCTCCTGCCCTGGAAGGCATGAAGCTTACAGGGGAAGGGCAGGGTGACTCCGGAGCTGGACCGTCCCTTCAAAGGAAGAGTACGGGATGCCTTTGGCTGGACGGGGAGGACAAGCTGAGAAAGGGTGTGACTGCTGTCTCAGGGAAGATGAGGCTGGCAGTACAGGGAGATGGATAGTGGAGAGGGGGTGCTTTCCACATGGAGGTGACAGGAGAGGACAGGTGGGGGTCCCTCCCTCTGGCTTCCGTGTGGACAGCATGTATGAGACACACACACCGCCCACTTGGGAGAAGTGGGTCCAGGCTCAAGCTCTGGTAGGTGACTTGCAATGCACGTTTATAAGTCAGGCAGGCTTCTGGGAAGCCAGAGCAGGAAGTTCACACCCAGCCTGGACAATTCAGTGCCTTTTTGAGACTCTGTCTCAAGATCAAAACCATGAAGTGCTGGGATGTGGCTCAGTGTGAAGGCCCTGGGTTTGGTCCTCACGCTCCCAACGTGCAGGCTGTGGGTGATGGAATTATCACCCTTCTGCCTTGTTTCTGTGGCCGGCCCGGTGCTGTTCCATTCTGTGTTCTGCCACCTGCTTCTCAGCCTTTTCTCATTGGTTTTCCAGGGTCACAAGGGCATCCGCAGTGACTCCATTGATGTAAGTTGCATGTGTCCTGAGCAACCCTTTGTCCTGTCGGCCCCGCGTCTGCTATCCTCACGTGCTCTTCCGTTTTCTTTTAAAGCAATGTGCCCTTATCCAGAGCATCAAGGAAAAGTGTCGTAAGTACCTGGCTTCTGCTGCCCCAGTCACATGACATTGTCACATTTGCCGTCTCTACGAGGTGGATGGGCCTCTCACTCTCTCTTCTCTGTTTCCTTTGCAGCTTGCTGCTATGGTAAGTTGGACTCTGTGGGTTGGTGTTGTCCTCAGGAAAGAAAGGCCCTTCCCTGGAGTGAGGGTGGCCTTTGTCCCACTTCCCGCAGGGCCCCTGGAGTGCCCTGTCTTCCCCACGGAGCTGGCCTTCGCCCTGGACACTTCTGAGGGCGTCACCCAAGACATCTTCAGCCGCATGCGCGATGTAGTCCTGAGCATCGTGGGCGAGTTGACCATCGCGGAGAGCAACTGCCCAAGGGGGGCCCGTGTGGCCGTGGTCACCTATAACAATGAGGTGACCACGGAGATCCGGTTTGCAGACTCCAGGAAGAAGTCGGCCCTGCTGGACAGCATTAAGAACCTCCAGGTGGCCCTGACATCCAAGCAGCAGAGTCTGGAGACTGCCATGTCCTTCGTGGCCAGGAACACGTTCAAGCGTGTGCGGAATGGGTTCCTGATGAGGAAGGTGGCTGTTTTCTTCAGCAACAGACCCACCAGGTCAACCCCGCAGTTGCGCGAGGCAGTGCTCAAACTGTCGGATGCAGGCATCACGCCTCTGTTCCTCACCAGCCAGGTGGACCGGCAGCTCGTCAATGCCTTGCAGGTGCAGCTTCTGTTTGCTGTCACCTGTCCCTCCCCTCCTGTCCCTCCGGAGGAAGGTTCTCAGGCATCCACATTCCCCTTGGTGGATTTATGTCTCCAGCTTCTCAAAAGTTCCTATGGGGCCAAGCTGGCCAGGTCTCCTCTTGACCTTCTCTCTCTCCCATGGCTGCAACACTGGGTCAGGATCTGAGTGCTGTAACTTCCGCCCTCGGGTTCCCAGCTCTTCCAGTTAGCAGCGCTCTCTCAGAGGCTGCAAATCCAGGCATTGGTGTTACTTGCTGCTCTGCTCTGAGGTGGGGACCTAGGAGGTGGGGAGTTCAGGCTTCTCCCCAGGTGTGCATGACCCCAGCCTGGGCATGTGCTTCCTGGGACTGGTCCCTGAGCTTTGCCTTTAGCCTCACCTTACGAGTGAGAAGACTATGACGTCGGTGGGGAGCTCACGTGAGGAGGCACCTGGGGCCCCCACTCTGAAGCCCATCCCACTCTGCCCTACCAGACCTGGAGGAGAATTTCCTCTCAGCGAGCCCTCAAGACCCCAAGGTGCACCTATGCACCAACCTCTGCTTGCCTGGTGACATGGGCTTGCGGGCAGGAGCCCCAGTTTGGAGGGTCCCCGGGCCACCTGTCTACCTGCCCCATTGGAGCCACAGGGCTCCGTGCCACCCTTGTGGGTTTCTCTCTGGTAGTCCAGGCTGGCAGGGATGCTCCCTGAAGTCTTTCCTTCCAAACTGGCTTTTCTGTGCTTTCCTCACTGCTGGGCCAGTGGGAAGCAGACAGGCCACTATCACTGTTGATTCTGCCAGGTGAGGGACAGGAGCCTGGGCTTGGGAGCTCAACTTTAAACTGGGCCGCCCGTGGTGTGCACCCATGCAGGCCCCCATTGGGTGACTTCCCTGTGAGGGCGGAGAGACGGGAAGCTGGCGTCATTCTGGAAGGGCTCCTCCTCCTCCTCTTCCTCGCACCACGTGACTGGCGACTGATGGAGTTGAGCCACCCAGGGCTCTCCTCCCCAAGGGGTGCTTTCCTCATCTGCTTGGTCACAGTCTAGACCTGAGTGGGATGTGGCTGCTTTATTCTGAAGATGACCATCATGTTTGCATCCCTGCCCGCTGCTGGAGGACACAAGGGCACTTAAACGCACCAGCTAGTCTCCAAATGAGCCCACAGGGAAGCAGCCATCATCCTCACTTTACAGCCAAGAAAATGGGAACCTAGACAGGTTAAGTTGCTGTGCTTCAGGCCCAGCAGCAAGCGTGGGATGTGAACTCAGCTGAGATCAAATCCTGGTTTCCTCCTACCCCCTGCGCCTCCCCTCCAACCACAGCCAGAGGCCAGTGCTGAAGGGCGCCTGCTCTGCGGCTGTGGTCAGCAGTCCTTCCCTTGCCTCCTGACCAACCTGGCCTTTTGTTTGTTCCAGATCAACAACACAGCTGTGGGGCATGTGCTTGTCCTGCCGGCGAGGAGGGACCTTGCGGACTTCCTGAAGAGCGTCCTCACATGCCACGTGTGCCTGGGTAAGGCCGTGGCAGGGGTGGGGGTGTCTGCCCAGCTGCAGCCACAAAGCGTGACCTCTTCAGAGGGACATTAGAGGGGAGAACTGTGACCTGTCCGGAGAGCTCCAGTCAGGCTCATACTTACCGGTGTGAATGCTGCCTACTGGCTTCCATGTTTAGAGCAGAGGCCCCAGAACAGAGGTTCCCTCTGATAGGAGGCAGCTTGTTTACCAGGCAACAAGGGAGAAGAATCTAGAATTCAAAGGTTTGTCTTGGGTGACTCTTCAGAACATATTTCTTCTGTTTTTTGAATGTATTAAATAACTTTTATTAGAAGATGTTGTGAATAGGCCGGATGTCGTGGTGCATGCCTGTAATTCCAGCACTTGGGAGGCTGAGGCAGGAGGATCTCTGTGAGTTCGAGACAAGCCTGGGCTACATAGTGAGTTCCAAGTAAATAAAAAAAAGATGCTGTGAACATTTCTTCAGAGAGTGACATAGAACTCAGATAATATTTCCTTCTTTATTTTTCAAAAATTTTATCAATGGATTGATTGGTATGGGGGACTGAACCAAGGGCCTTCACACTGAGCTACATTTGCAGCCCTTTTTAAAATTTATTTTTATTTATTTTAATTTTTATTAATAGATACTTGCGGTCATAATGTACATAGTGTGATGCATAATGTCTGCATTCATTGTGGGGTGTGGTGCATGTACGTCAATACCTCTCTCCCTGTTTCTCACTGCCTGTCTTTGATTTTGCTCTTTATTGACATTTAGGGTTTCTCATGTGAGAGTACCCACTTAATGTTTAAGCTTGTGTGTCTAATTTATTTCACTTAGCATTATGGTCTCAATTTGTAATTTTGTGACAGCGTCTCACTAACTCAGTAAGTTGCCCAGGCTGGGCTCAAGCTTGCAATTTTCCTACCTCAGCCTCCCAGATAATCTCCTCAGCAAGGATTACAGGCCTGCACCACACTCAGCTTATATCTGTATCTATATTTATCTATCATCTATCTATCTGTCTGTCTATCTATATTTTTTAATGGCACACCATCAGTTTTTTAGTTAAAATAGGATGCCTCCCTTTCTGCCCTAAACTATTTGACTGAGTTGTTTATGCATTAAGTTGTGTCTGCCTAGTCTTTCCTGTAAAAGCTGTGTTTTGCTGGTTCCTTTTATATTTTTAAATGTCGATTTCATGGTATGATGTAAAGCTTTTAGTTTCTCAATAGTTTCATCTAGGGAGTATCAGGTCATGAAAACCAAACTCTGGCCACGGCTAAAGTCTTGAGATGTAAATAGGCTTCTCTCTTTCGTGGCTGATTTAAACCCCGAGACACCCCTCAGGTTTGTGTACTACAGGAGACACAGAGTGATCTGGCTGCCCCGCTTCCTTTCAGACATCTGCAACATCGACCCGTCCTGCGGGTTTGGCAGCTGGAGGCCTTCCTTCCGGGACAGGAGAGCGGCAGGCAGCGACGCGGACGTAGACCTGGTGTTTCTCCTAGACAGTGCAGAGACCACTAGCCTGTTCCAGTTCAACGAGATGAAGAAGTACGTGGGCTACGTGGTCAAGCAGCTGGAGCTGAGCCCCGACCCTGGGGCCTCCCCGCACTTCGCCAGGGTGGCCGTGGTGCAGCACGCACCCTACGAGTCCCTGGGCAATGCCAGCGCGCCACCAGTGCAGGTGGGGCTGTCGCTGACGGACTACGGCTCCAAGGAGAGGCTGCTGGACTTCTTGGGCGGCGGAGTGGCGCAGCTGCAGGGAGGCAGGGCCCTGGGCCGCGCAGTGGAGTACACAGTCCAGAACGTGTTCGAAAGTGCGCCCAACCCGCGGGACCTGAAGGTCCTGGTGCTGATGCTGACCGGCGAGGTGCGGGAGCGGGAGCTGGAGGAGGCCCGCAGGGCCATCCTGCAGGCCAAGTGCAGGGGCTACTTTTTTGTGGTCCTGGGCGTGGGCCGGAAGGTGAACGTCAAGGAGCTGTACGGCTTCGCCAGCGAGCCCAGCGACGTCTTCTTCAAACTCATCGACAAGTCCACCGAGCTCAACGAGGAGCCACTGATGCGCTTCGGGAGGCTTTTGCCGTCCTTCATTGGCAGTAAGTCCTGAGGGGGTGGGGTCAGCAGGGGCAGGCAGATGGTGTCCGTGTCCCCCGTTCACGCAATTTTACCCGGAATCTGGCCGGGCATGGCCTAGCGGCCCGGCATTGTGGGTATGCTACGGGCATGGCGATGGTCCAGGTGAGCTTCCGGCCCTGTGCTGGATCCTCGGGGTCCCTGCTGACCGGGCCCCTCCTGGCAGCCAGGCCACGTGCCTCTCCCACACTCACCCCAGCTCCCGCCTGCTGTGGGCGCCCCCTCCCCGAGGCCTGCCTTGCTGACCCCGGGCACCACTCTCAGACTATACGCAGCTGGGTGGTGCCGCCCTCACCTTCCCCAGGGCCTGGCGGCCGGCAGCGGACGAACAGGGGGGAGGATCATAGAGCAGACACAGATACATCCTGCTGCATACTTACCGGTCCAGGGAAAGGGAGGTCCTGAACACAGCATTCATGCTCCTGAAGGGCCGCCCCCAGAACATTTGGGGGATGCACATGTGAGTTGTAGCTTTATCCAAAGACACAGATCTGTCTTTAGAAGATTAAAAAGTGGTGTACAACAAAGCACTGGGAAAAAACACAACAAACAAAAAGTTGGGGAAATACTCAGCTTGATGATTAGAGTTTGGAACTTGTTAAACTTCCACTTATTTTCTCCTAATTCTAATTTTGTCTTTTCTCTCATATGGAGTATTGGCCTTTAACCTAATCATGCAAATACCAGCAATTAGAATGTGCTGACTTAAGATGCTGGATGGATTGAGCCCCATCCAATTTAATATTTAAAATCAGTATTTAGCTTGTCTAGAAAATTTAATTAATTTAACAAATATTTACAGGCTGAGCAAATAGCACGTGGTCCATTTGACTTGCGAGTGACTGATTTTAACTTCAGTACAATCCACACACGGTTAAAGTATGTCATTCTCTGTTGTTTTCTAGGTGAGAATGCTTTTTACTTGTCCCCAGACATCAGGAAACAATGTGATTGGTTCCAAGGGGACCAACCAGCAAAGAATGGTGTGAAGTTTGGTCACAGGCAAGTGTAAGTGACGATAATTATTGTCTCAAAGGCAGAGGTCCCCAGACCATCCCTGACATATTAAGGATGAGGACTTTGACACCTGGAAAGGGAACTTCTGTAAGGTCCCATGGGCCATTCTTAAGGAATCTGCTGTATCAGTTAGCTTTTGCTGCATAAAAAAACTGCTCAAAATTTAGTGGTTTAAAACAGCTTAAAACAGCTTAAACTCTTTATTTAGTTTGCAATTCTATGGGTTGGTCCTTCCTGGCTGGGCTCTCCTGGGTGGTTCTCCTAGACTCGCTCGGCTCCCTTGTACGACAGACAACAGAACAAAACAAAACAGAAAACAGTGAGTGTTTAAAAATTTTAAATTTATTACAGTAAAAGATTAATTGCCATAGATCCCTTCAAAATGCCCTCCTTGCTTTGAATGTATCTATCCCACCCTTCCTACCACTGTCCGAAGCAGCTCTGGAGTCCTCTTTCCTGAGTGTCTTTGTGAGGTGTGATAAATGCCGTGAATGTGGCTACCGAGTGCCCTCTAACAGAACGGCAGGCTTGTAAAAACATCGCAGTGTGTCTCCATCCTCCTGATTTACTGTGTGTGACACTGTGCGACTTCTGGCTCTTTTCCGAAGTCAAAATGAGCGTGGAAGGTCAATGTTTTGAATCAGTTCAGGACATAGAGACGGCCGTGAGAGCACCACTAAAGACCCTCAGGAAAGAGGACTCCAGAGCTGCTGCAGACAGGCAAGAATGATGAGATATGTGTTCAAAGCGAGGTGCAGTATTTTAAGGGGGGGAATTCATAGTAATGTGTCTCTTACTGTAGTAATTTTTTGTTTAAACACATACTGTATTTTTCAACCACACTGTGTATGTTAGTGGTCGGCTGTTGGCAGCATGACAGCTGGTCTAGGCTACTCTCAGCTGAGATGGTTCATCTTTCCTCCGTGTGTCTTTCATGGTCTAGCCTGGGCTTGTTCAAAGGTGACCCGGCTGGTCTCCACGAGGGACGAAGGAATGTGCAGCTCTCCTCAGACCTAGGTTAAACCTGGCCTGCTGATAGCTCCTGCCATATTCTTTTGGCCAAAGCATTTCAGAGGCCCCCCTAGATTTAGGGGTGCAGAGCTAGGGCTGAGGGAGGACCCACCACACCATACTGTACAGGACATGGGGACAGGGAAGGCTGCCTGTTGGATGCACTGTGTCTTCAAGCTGATGCCATAAACTTCAATTAAAACTTCATAAAACTTCAAATGTGGAGTTACTCGGTGAGTTCTGTTTTCCTTGTGATAAGAAAGTTGAGCCAACTTTAGAGAGCATTCTGGAGGAATAATGAGGTCGGCTGAGGGCTGGAAGAACACAGCCTGTGAGCCGGGTCAGGCAGGGCCAGCAGGCAGCGCAGTGAGCTGTGCCAGGGAGATGAGGGCCGCACACCAGAGTCTCACTTTCCAGGGGTCACTGAGTGGCATATCTGAGACAGAGCCCAGAAACCCCAGCTCATAGCAGAGCATGACACACGCACTGTGCTGTTCTCTTGGGGACAGGTTGATGGCACTTTCCACCGCGAGCTCCATTTCTGAGGCCATGACCCCAGGCCTCTATCACATGACCACGCAGCCTGTACTCCTCCTCCTGGTGGAACGGGCATACCACTGCCTGTTATACCAATGCCTGTGCATTACCCATTTAGGAAGATACACAGTGTCCATTTTTTGCTGTTTCCAATCTGCATGAAATCCACTCACCCAGATGTGGCAGATTGTTTGGATCTCTGGCCTCGTCTTTCCGCGACTCCTTCTCCCTGTCCTGCTGTGTTCTCCTGATCTCAGCCGTGTGAGCTGACTATCACAGCTAGGGCTGCCAGGACCCTTGCCAGGTACTGTGCTGTGGTGTTGGTCTGCATGGCTCAGCTCACGGGCTCTGTGCTTCCAGCCATCAGCGGATCTTACATTTCTGCAGAATGCAGCAGTACCTCAGTTCACAAATTTAATTTACTCCATGATTCTGGTTGCAAACTGAATCAAATTTCTCCATAAGGTTCAATGTCAATGGATGTGGAGTTCTCCAACAGAAGCATTTGTGAACCGAGGCACCACTCTATTCCCTGAAGTTCACTTAACTTTCTCATTGAAAGGAAAACAGAGTGAACAGAGTGACTTAGCATTTGCAGCTTTATGGTATCAACTTGAAAATATAGTGTCTATGAGATGTATCATGATGAAGCTATAAAATAATTGACTTCACTAAAAGCAAGAACAAAGCGTGTGTTGGTGCTGGTGCACTGTTTGGTGATGTTGCTATTCTCTCTAAGGGTTTACTGCAAACAGCATGTGAAAGCATGGTAGAGGTAATGTTTAATTTGTTTTAACAGAAATGTTCCGAATAACGTTACTTCAAGTCCTACAACCAAACCAGTGACAACAAAACCAGTGACCACCACCACAAAAGCAGCAACTATTGTAAATCTGCCACCTGCTAAGCCAGCTGCTAGGAACCCTGCTGCTGCAAAGCCCGTGGCTGCCCGTCCTGTGGGCACCAACACAGCCACAGTCAGACCGGCGGTAGTGGTGAAGCCAGTGGCTGCAGCAAAGCCTGCAGCAGCAAAGCCGGCAGCTGTGAGACCCCCTCTCCCTCCTGCAAGGGCAGCGTCCACCAAGCCAGAGGCCCCCAGGCTGCCAGCCAAGCCAGCCACTGCCACCAAGCCAGAGGCTCCCAGGTCGCCAGCCAAGCCAGCCGCTGCCACTAAGCCAGAGGCTCCCAGGCCACAGGCCAAACCCGCAGTCCCCAAGCCAGCTGCTGCTAATCCCTTGGGTAAGATACCCTCCAAGGTTCGGCCTGGAGGCCTGCTTAGGCAGCAGGGGAAATACAGCCACCACTCGGGGATTCGAACAGCTTGCATGGTACATTCTAAAACATGCCAGGCTTGGAGTGGCATTGGCCAAACATTGCTTTTTTCTGTGCTACAAAGCAGTCTTTCTTTTATGGCTCCTCCAAGGCAGGTGAGGTTCTAGCCCCTGGTACCTCCTTCCTGGTTGGCCCCATCCTTGGCATGGAGGTGGGAGCCCTTGTCCTTTCTGCCATGTCAGCACACAGAGCCCACCTCACCTAGAAACCTGGCTGTCTAAGCTAAGGAATAAGGTCCTAAGTGAACGTAGGGTTGGACCACCTTCAGGGCATGAGAGGGAAAGAACACACGTGCCATCGGCTCTCAGGCTGCGAAGAGTGCATTTTGCTTGGTTTCTAGAACAGACCCGCTCATCCCCAGACTATGACTTAAAAAGATCTGGATGGACCCTTTGTTCCACACTAAGCACCTGGCCATGAGAAGTTGCCCCACACCGCCTACTGTGGCACCCTCAGGGTGTTTTGTCTGCAAACTGAATTGGAGCCAGACGTCAGGCCAGGGCCTACTCTGAAGCCCAGCTTGGGTGCTGCCTCTGGCCATGAGAAAAACTGTCAGATACCAGATGTGGGTGGGTTAATGAGAACTGAGGGCAGTGTTGTATCATTTCCTTAGAGCAGGTGTTAGACTGTCCGAAGCTCTAATGGAAGAGGAGGGGTTGTGTGTGCTCACGGAAAGTCAGCAACTGTCTTCATTTCACAGGCAGGGAGAAAGCTCAAGTCCCTTTAAAGAAGTTTACGTCATGCTCTGAAATTTCATGACTTCATATATTTTAAATGACGGGCTCATTTTGCATTGAACCTTTGGCTGATTAGCACACAGGATTTTGTGTTTTCAAAGTATCTCTTTAATAGCAAGATATTCAATAGAAAGAAAAAGGTGGCACGCACCCTGTTGAATAATGAGATCTTTCTTTGCTATGAATCTCACATTTCGTGCATGCTGATAGGTAACAGGATCAATATTTGTCAGGAGCTCGAGCAAGAAATTAGTCTCCTGCCTCACCTGAATTTCAGATCAGCAGTCAGTTGATTCTCTGTGTCAGGGTGGGGTGGATTTTTATCCCTGTTTTCTGTCTTGCAGTGAAGGCGATGACCGAAGTCCAGGTGTCTGAGGTCACGGAGAACAGTGCCAGGCTCCGCTGGGAGAGGCCTGCGCCCCCCAGCTCTTACTTTTATGACCTCACTGTCACCTCGGCCCAGGACCAGTCCCTGGTTCTCAGGCAGAACCTCACAGTCACTGAGCGTGTCATAGGGGGCCTGCAGGCTGGGCAGACGTACTACGTGGCAGTGGTCTGCTACTTGAGGTCGCAAGTCCGAGCCGTCTTCCGTGGAACCTTCAGCACAAGTGAGTGTGTGACTAGTTCCTGACCTCTGGTACAATCAGTGGGACATGAAGGAAATGCTTCCTTGTTGAATCTATCCTGTAATGCCCACAAAATCCAGCAATAAAAATAAGCGCTTTGGTTGCACCCCAGCTTTATGGAACAACGGAAGAGAAGTTGGGCACATGTGTGCTCCTGAGAAGTGGGTCCTGGGGCCAAGCCTGGTGGCACTTGGAGGGCTCTGCCGCCACCATTTGTCCCTGTCCCGATCCAGGGAATGGAAAGCACCAGCCGCTCCTGTCCAGCCTTCCCTCCTCACTCACTTCTGTCTTAAGCTCTTCTGGGGCCCTGGAGGCACAAGTGCAGAGACTCTTTAGGCCACCGCCTTCTGTTTTCTTAGAGCCAGCAGAAGAGCTTGTGTGGGAGGCAGGAGGATTGGGTCCGAAGATGAAGGATTTCCTCTGCTTGTTTGTAAACGAATGGCTGCAGTGTGCAGACTATAACAGTATACACGGAGACTTCTGGGAGCAGTTTCCACAGCCCATCCCCTGATGAGACATTCATCATGAAAGGAAAACTTGTGCTGTTCGCTGAGTCCTCAGCCCTTTGGTTTATGATTTACCTACTAGCTACATGTGTTTTTCTTTATAGAGAAAACCCAGCCTCCACCTCCATCACTAGCAAGGTCAGCCTCAAGTTCAAGCATCAACCTAATGGTGAAAACGGAGCCATTGGCTTTTACCAAAACAGGTGAGTTGCAAAGATGTGAGGTCCATTTAGGGCACTGAGAAGGGAGTCTTCTGGGAATTCTAAAGCTTTTGAGGTCTTGGTTCTAGATCATCTGCCTGATCTAACTGCCATGGCTTCTCTGGGGAGAATCCCAAATCAGCCCTGTGGTTTCATTCTGCATATGCCCAGGTGGAAGTGGAGATGTGCCCTCCCTGTCCCCAGCCTCTGAGGCATGGGAGTCGCTGCGAGGTCCCAGGCAGAAGCCATGCAGCTGCTGGTCAGCCCCACTGAGCTCACACTGAGACTGGAGTTGTTTGTGGCCTACAGAGCTGGAAAGAGTAGAGTTTCATCCACTTAGTGACTTACTCTAATAAGAAACTGCTTAGGAGAACAAGGGCAACCCAGATCAGAACCATGAAATACAGAGGTTTGGACACAGCCCAGGGGTGCTCTGGGTCCGGTTCTCTGGCTTAGTCTCTTACTCTTTCCTGTGTGCCTGAGCACTGTGGCTTGTGGCGCAGGTTTGTGCTCGGGTCCTGACCACCTGTGCTCCTGGGCAGGGGGATCCAGATCTGTCTTCCCGCATCCAGGGGAATCGGAGCCTGGCTTCTTCGTCCTGTCAGATGGATCACTGAAGTGGTCACTATGTTTTGTGCAACAGTGTTCAGCAAAAGAGTTGACACAGAACAGAGGTCAAAATTCCATGAGCGCTTTAGGCATATTGACCCCAGTGCAAAAATCGCTGCTGACTATGTGAAGCTTTGCTACTTTTGCTGGGTTGGCCCCTGTTAGAAGGAGGAGAGCATCTCTGGATAGAGTGCTAATTCCTGTAATTAACTGTGAGGAAACACACTGCAGCTGCCTTTGTCCGGGGCCAGGTTAAGAGTGGCCACGGCTGTGTAATACGTAGACCGAGGCATATTGGTTAGAACTGTCAGAAGCAATAGCACTTTATTTTTTGAGCTATGTGTACACAATTCTCGTTTTACTCTTTCCACTGTTTTTAAATGATGTTTATTTGCCTTTCTTACCCTTTCTACAGAGCTTTCATTTCGTTCTGAGTGTTTTCTAACTCCACATCCTTGTTACTTTGGGGCCGCCAGGGAGTAGAGACCTTTGATTCTTTCCATTTGCTGGGCTGCTTTCTTCCCTGTGTCCATGTCCTGCCATCTGTGCATCTGCAGGCGCCTCGCGGGCCCACCTTCTGCTTGAGCATGGGACATCCAGGAAATGCTAACCATGCTGGCACAGGAGTCGCTGAACCATCAAAGTTTAATAGGAGCAAACGAGTGGTCTACTTACAGAATCTGAAACTATCTAATTATAGTTTTCCCTGGAGACAAATCTAGGAATTGGTCTATGTTGGAGAGGCAGCATCTTCTGCTTCTGAGGAAAAATGGATAGGAAATTCTTTGCTCTGCACAAATGTATGGAAATGAGCCAGAACTTCACGGTAGATTGGATGACTCAATTTTAAGATCTTAGGGATTGTGTAAACAGACTTGCAAAAAAAAAAAAAAATTCTTCATGCGGTGATTTTCAACTCAAAGACTGGAGGAAGGCATGTGTGATAAGGGTTGGTCATGGTGAAGGAAAGAGAACTTGTCTCAACTCTTTTGTGTGTTTTGTTTTGTTTTGTTGCTTTGATAATGGGGATCAAACTTGGGTCCTTGCACTTGCAAGGCAGGTGGCAGCACCTCTGAGCTAGATCACCCTTCCTTGTCTTGACTCTTTTGATTTCTGCTTACAAGTAATTATCTGAGTCCACATCGAGGGGCTGTAGTTGGGCCTCTGTCCTCACCGTGGGACTCGCAGCTCCTGACCCCTCTGCTCCCAGGAGGCCGCCCAGCCTGAGGACTGAACTCAGAGGGGAGCCACAAGGAACACAGCAGCTTTCTCTCAGATGTGGGTTGGCGGCCAGGTGCCGACCCCAAAGGCTGACTGTGGGGCTGTCCCCCACTCACCGGCTGACTTCACTCCTCACAGTGTGGGAAATGGGAAGCTTTTGGAAATTCTGCTTCATTGAGAGAAAAACAATTTGGAGTAATTGCCAGGCAGCGAAATCTGGGGATTTCTTTGGTTCTCTTATGTGTGGTCTAGATGAACAAGAGCATCTAAACACAGCTTAGTTAAAGTAAACAGCGCGGGCTGGGAACTCGAGTCTGGTAGGTTGTTCTGTTTTTTTCATACGGAGTTGCATGTCTCAGAATGAGGGAAGTGGTTTAACACACAGCTCCTGGAAGTGGGGAGAGACGGGGATTTGCAGTTGGGCTCGCATCTCTGCCAAAGCTCCAGGTCCTCAGACACAGGTGAAGCTGAGGCCTGTCCCCTCACCCTGGAGGAGGGTGCTTCCGTGTATATAAACCCAGGCTGTTTGTAACTGATCTGCAACCATACAGCAGCAAAACAGCGCTTGGCCTGGAGAAGTGGCTTCCTGTACGGGGCTTGCTGAACACTGCAGGTGCCCAAGTTTACAGAGCATTTTCCAAGGCTCTCTGAATTAAAGTAATTGGATATTTATTTCAAAATGTTTGAAATTCAAAGTGGATGATGAAATAGGAGGACGATAGACTCTCATCTTTCCCTTCTTCTCCCAGCCCCCTTTCCTCCCTTCCCTCTCCTCTTCCTCTTTGTTACCTTAACATATTTTCTTCAGGAGGAGTTAAAATAGTTTAACAATATTTATATTCTTGGAGATAGAAAGAGGGGTGACAACTAATAAGGTCAAACTATTTCTTAAGTAACTTGAAAAATATAGCAACTGCATTATTAGTTGTTGTGTGTATATTTTGCATTTAAATAAATAAACATATCTGATCTGCAACCATACAGCAGCAAAACAGCGCTTGGCCTGGAGAAGTGGCTTCCTGTACGGGGCTTGCTGAACACTGCAGGTGCCCAAGTTTACAGAGCATTTTCCAAGGCTCTCTGAATTAAAGTAATTGGATATTTATTTCAAAATGTTTGAAATTCAAAGTGGATGATGAAATAGGAGGACGATAGACTCTCATCTTTCCCTTCTTCTCCCAGCCCCCTTTCCTCCCTTCCCTCTCCTCTTCCTCTTTGTTACCTTAACATATTTTCTTCAGGAGGAGTTAAAATAGTTTAACAATATTTATATTCTTGGAGATAGAAAGAGGGGTGACAACTAATAAGGTCAAACTATTTCTTAAGTAACTTGAAAAATATAGCAACTGCATTATTAGTTGTTGTGTGTATATTTTGCATTTAAATAGCAATAAACATAATCCCCACTATTGCTCTGAAGACGTACTTCCTAGAAAAAAGTTTCTCCTGGAAAGAGAAACTGATTTACACTGATTCTGAGCTAAGGCTGATGACCACTTTCCCTCCTTCTTATCTCCTAGGCTGCCATTAGCACCTCAAGAATAAAGAGGAGAAAGTTAGTGAGCACACAGCCAAACCCTGCAGGTTTGTGCCAGAAAGGGCCACCTCATTTTAGAGGGAAAACAGACAACCATCAAGTCCTAAACCTCAGTGTCCAGGGAAAAGTCCAGGTTAATCTCAGAGAGGCCCAGGCATCTCTTTGTGCACTGTAGGACGTTGTAGTCATTTTGCTTTAGCAGGGCTTTGTTAGCAGGGGTAGCTTAGGAGGTGCCCCCCAAACGGTGGGTGTTGGAAGCCAGGATGATGTGGGCTTAAAACTGGAAGGGTTCATGAGAAGAGCTTCTCTCCCATCTCCATGCTTTACAAATGTCCATGCTTTGCAAAGACTGCTGTCTTTGGATAGCGTGGGCTGACATGAATACATTTGTCTCCCTTTTCCAAATGTTTACTTCAACACTGGCAGTGTCCTTTGGTTCCTTTGGTGAAAAGCTCTTGTCTTCTAAGTCCCCTCCCCAATTTTCCTTGACAGCCTGGCCTTCCCTCAGCAACGGGCATGTTTGAGAGAAAGGAGGTGATTTTTGTAAGTGGTCCTCATTTTATTATGGCTTCCTTAGGTCTTCCAAGTTCTAGAGGGGCTGCTGGGCCTCTAAAAGGGTCCACAGGGAAAGGCGACATAGCTGGAGCTGCTGCCCTCCCTGCCTTCTCTGTCAGCCAGGCTCCTGTGAGACTGTGTCTTGTCACAGAGCCTTGGAGACGGTCCAAGCTGGCCAACCCTAACTTTGATTACCAGTTGGAAGCCTGGGTTTTCCCTTTGCTTTTGGTGCCAATCAGAACTGCAGATGCCACCTTCTCTGCAGCCAGGCACAACCTGGCCTGTGGGTTTTCAGGGGCAAAGGGCCAGCAGCTCTTCCTGGGGAGCTGGAAGATGCAGGCCCACCACCCACTCATGCACACACAGCCTTATCAGCCCCAGATAAGGTTCTGCTGAGAAAAGGCTTAGGGCTTCCAAACTTTCAGATAACAGTGGGTGTCTGTGCCTCTCTTTCCCGGCATTGCCTGGGCTTGGCCAGAGAGCTGTGTAAACTGAAGCCCCCTGCATGTAAACTGTGAAGTCTTCTCTGCAGACCTCGGGGGCACCCCGTTTTCCCACCCAGCCCCCACACCAGAAATATACATCGTAACAGAGGCTTTCTGCCAGACAGATGAGTGCTTCTCAGCATCCTGAGAGCTTGCAGTGGGGGATTTGCTGTTGTGACTTTTACTTAGCTCAGTGATTGTTCTGTTTGTAGTAGTTAAATTTGGCTGCTGGGAAGGCGTTTGGTTCTGTACACATGAACACCTATAAGGGTGTCTGTTTCTGCTTTACCTTTAACTTTCACTCTACCTGGCTTGTTGTGAAAGGCACAGCCTAATTTTCACATACTTTGAAGGAATTTAATGTCATTTTGCCAAGTGGCAAAAATAAAGAATAAGCTCCACAGTGTCAAAATTAAGTTTTCTCCTCCTCTGCTGATGTAACATGGAAGAAACTGGGGAGTAGATGGAAAGAGTACAGTGGGGTGATTTCCTTCTAAGTGGTCTGAAATAGTGATTGCTAACATCAGGGTTCTGAGTGTAATTTATGGAGGCCTTGTGCAGACAGGATTTTATCGATTCCTCACAAAGCCACAGTGGTGACAATGTCCTGCATCAGGAGGAGAGGGGCTGCCTTGGCTTGCTTCTGCTGTGATCCCACTGTAGCCTGGAGCCGGGAGCAGCCTGATGCGCCTTTTTCCCCTTGTGATCACAGATATATGCAAGCTGCTCAGAGATGACGGAACCTGCAGAGAGTATGAGCTAAAGTGGTTCTATGACACCAAGACGGAGAGCTGCGCGCGGTTTTGGTATGGAGGCTGTGGTGGGAATGAAAACAGATTTGACTCCCAGCAGGAATGTGAAAAGGTTTGCGCTTCTGGTGAGTATTTTTTTTTCCTGTGTTTATCACTGTTGCAAACAAGATAAGATATCCAGGTCAGCAATTCACCCTTCAGAACTGGGACACATTTGATAAAGATAGATTACATCTGCAGATGAGGAAGATGCTCCAACAGAACAAGCAAGAAAGATAACCTTTCACAGAAAAGCACAGAAATTATTTTTTTTGAATCCTCCTTTTGTTTCCTAAAAACATTCTTGTCTTTTTGATAATGGAGAAACATGGCCAAATACTCGTCACCCTTCAGAAATGCTACAGAGCTCTGATTATCCATAAAACATTGCACCAAACACGAGTACTAGAAAAAATAAGGCGATGGTCAGTTCTAGACTGCATTAAAGATAAATACTTGCATGTATTCATCTTTAAATAGTTTTGCTCCCTGTAAGTAAGACAGTTGCTACTGGGGCCTCCAGTACCTCCGTGGTGTTGACCAGCTCCACAGGTGACAGAATGAAAACCACTTGGTCCAGGGCCTGGGGCAGCGTTAGAGGGGAATCCAGTTCGCCAGGGGCAGCTCCGGCTGCACAGAGCCCAGGCCCAGCCCAGGCCTCACAGGTGCCTGCGACAGCGGCAGTGGAGAAGGACAGAGGTGCAGACTAGAGGTGGATCAGTCACCGTGCACACGCCGCTCTTCATGCCCTATAAAACGGCTTCTTCTTGTCCTGTCCTCTCCTCCCTCTAGGCTCAGGGCTCCCCAAACCCGGCGTCGTCAATGTGATGGGAACCTAGGCATGGCTGGCGTGACACATACCTCTGGGAGAAAAAGGAGGCAGCCACCCGCAACTCTTCATCTTTGAATCCGTAGCAGGTCTGGGAGGTTCCCTGACTCTGTGCCATTTTGTGCTTTGATCGACACCTGGACTCGGAGGAAGACTTCTTTTGCACGACTATCAATTTGGTGCTAAGCGTGTCTGTGGGCCCCTCGTGCTGTCTCCAGGCAGTTATCTCGTATTCTCTGAGTGTTGTGGAGTAGTTAGCCACTGCCGGTGCGTATGTGAATATCCCCCTAGTTCCACCTCTGTCTGGAGTTTGTTTCTTCTGTTCCGGGCAATGTAAGGTCTAGAAAGTAGCCCCTAATGTCCAGCTGCTCTGTATACTTTCGCTTGGTTCATCTCCCCTTAGTTAAGCATGACTTTAGATGGAGAAACAAGAGCCCCACACTTTCATCCTTACACCCCAATTTCCTGGATGAGGCTTCGGGCCAATTTTCTTTTTCTAAATCCTCTAACGAATGATCTGATTAGGAGGAAGCAACATCCTTCGACCTGTGTGCACTGTTGGGACCAATGCCTTAATTAAAGAATCCAAAGAAACCCATAAGAGAGAATATTTTTGGCATTCCTCTAATTTTTTTTTTTTTTTTTTTGGTGAAGGGGATGGGGTTTAATTTTAATTGTAAAATTTTTAGGAAATTTATACAAAGAAACTTTTTAATAAAGTATATTGGAAAGTGGTCTGTGTTTGGTGTTCTTGGCTATGTTGTTTCCATAGAGCCAATGGACTGGGGAGGTGGCCAAGCTCTGGCCACTGGTTCTGGCATTACCCTATGTCCCAGCGCTGCCCTGTAGCTTCACTGGAGGGGCAGAAGTCTCCATGGGACAGATGCCCAGAGCCCCGGGGGGCTGGCACCTGTCTGAAGATGGTCCTACTTCCTGTGCCAGTGTCTGGCAGCACCAGGACCTGCAGCAGAGCCTGGGAGCCCTTCTTGGTCATTCCACTGGAGCAAAGGGACTTTTGTGGTGGGGCCAAGGAGGGAGCCTCAGGGGTGCAGTTGATGGGGTGGAAAACAGAAGCAATAACTACGAGGCTACAGGGTTGGGATGAGGTACCATAAACTGGGAAGTATGCTTTTACAGTTTTTCAAGGCTGGTGTTCATAGTGAAGGTACTGGCAGAGCCGTGCTCCCCCAGACATGTAGGGAAGCACCCCTCCTTATCTCTGCCTGCCTTCTTGTGGTGGCCACTGTCTTGGCCCTCTTTGGCTTGCAGCTGTCTGCAATCCCACACTTTCTCCCTGTTCTTGTCCTCCACATCCTATCTTCTCATGAGGACACCAGTCATGTGGATGAAGTCATACTCAAGTATGACCTTGTCTCAGCCAATCACATCTGCAATGACTCTATTGCCACATCCCGAGGTCCTGGGGATCAGGATTTCCCTATGTCTCCTTAGGAGGTGACGCTCCTCCACCCTGTGGTGCAGTCTTAGCATTTCTGGTACTTGTTCTGACCTCCACCATATTGATCAACCTCTACCATGAGGCAGCAGCTCCAGTGATGAGATCTCAGCCAGAATTGATCATCTCCTAGGCGTTCTTGTTATTACAGTTGTCACTACTGGATTGCAAGCCTGGGTCTGGTTTATCTCAAAATTTAAATCTCAGATTCCATTCAAAGCCTTTCTGTTGTTAACTCTGGTGATGCCCAGCTCCAGGCTTGGCCTGGAGTTTGGGTGGAGGAATCCATAGCCTGACCTCCGATGCTTCCTCTTGACCCCCACAGGCCCGTGGAGGTCTGGGCTGGAGCTCCTCCCTGGAGCTGGGCTGAGGTCTGTTGGCTGCTGCTCTCTTTCCCCGGGCCCTGTTCTTGGCTATGTCAGCTTCTCTGGGGAAGTCTGCTGGGGCCCAGTTTGGAGGATCTGGCCGTTAGTGAATTTCCCTTTTCCTTTGCCATAGCTCCTTAGAAGGGGAATCCTCCACACTGCATTCCTTCATCAGTAATCTGCTGTATATCAGGAAGCCAGTTCAAGTCCAGCCCACTCTTGGGTACTGACTGATGAGTTACTGCAAATGAATCTTCTTATGTAGCCATTCCTTTACTCAAGATAGGTGACATTTCTGTAATCTCATCTGGAAGATGGGTAAAGAACATTTAAACATTTCATCACCTTTCTCCCAATAAATTTACACATAGCTATTTATCCTAAAGGAACAACTTGAAATTTAGTATGGCATTACTTGCAATGACAAAAATGAGCTAGAGATCATCAAAATGGCCAAGAGGGCCACCTTAAATATAACAGGTTTCATTCACAAAAGAATAAAGTAAGCTGACATTAGATATGCCATAGCGGTGATAAATGATCCACGCAATTACTCAGCCAATATTTACAATAAAATGTTTTAAAAGATACACATCTATATATTTAATATAACAATCACACATATAAATGCACCTCCCCAATATGTTTTTCTTTTGCAAAGAAAAAATCCTGAGGGCAAATACAAAAAATTTAATCAGTGGCTATTTCTGATGTGGTGATTTCAATGTTTCTGGATTTAATTTTTCTTTTACCATAAATGTGTTATTTTTACCAACCAGTTATTTTAGATAGGAAACATTTTTATGGGCAAATTACACTACTTGTAAATTTAAATTGCTCTAATTGTGTTGAATGGATATACTTAACCATTCATTCATCATTCATCCCTTGTTCACAGCATAGCAATCGTGAGGTGCCATGAAAAGGTAGTTCTAATGGAACTGAGCTACTTGGGAGAACACAGTAAGACAGAGGCACACCTGGAAAGTGGGGCAGGCATGATTGCTGGGGAGGATGGTGAACACAGAAGCCTTCCCTGCTCCCTCCATTTCTTCTCTGCTTAGTCAGTGAGCACTTGGTGGTTCCCAGGCAGGGATGTTGCAGAAGGAATTGGCAAGTGACATAGAGACAAGCTGAATGGAAAAGAATAAAAAGTGTATTTTGCCAGCAAAGGTCGAATCACACTCAAAAAGGCAGTGCCAGTGATCGACCTTGTATTGGATTGCAACTTTCTCTTTTATAGGTTTTACAGCCATGATCTCATTCAGGTGGTTACATTTCATTTCCTCAGTTCACATTACCCACGTACAAATTGCAGTAACAAGACAGTTAACTTTAACCCAGATGTAACAATTCCTTGTAGGGAATTTACCTTAAGATTTATCTAGTTAGCTATTCTAGTGCACAGGAAGGAGGTGTTCAAGGCTAGGGATGAGGCCAGATGTCCTATTTCGTGGTCAATGCCTCCGGTGTCTGTTAATTTTGAACTAAACAAAGCAGATTGTGGTTAGAGATGGAAGTCGTTTTACATATTCGTAACATTTTGTAGCTTTTTAGATTACTTACAAAAGTTCTCTGTATCAGGAAAACCTGTGTGACTGTGGTCAGCCCTCTGTCCCCACCCTGATACTCAGATGGTGCAGAGCACAGGCTGCTGGAGGGAGTTGTAACCCTGGAATCCACTGGCTCTGCCCTCCTCCAGATGCCCACCTGGGTTGCCCTTGCCAGCAGTACCCCACCCCCATACATGAGCCCCTCTCCAAACTTATCCTGTGGGCAGCTCCCAGTCAGCATTGAGCTCCAGAGGAGGCAGAGACATGGGCAGCATCGAAGCTCAGGCCTGCAGGCAGCGGAGGGGCAGAGCACAGCACTGTCCCTAGACCATGGCCCTGTAGCCAGCACCATAGGCACCCCTTGCTTCCCCAGAAGCCACACCCTGGGAGGAACAGTCAGGCCCAGCTGACCCCTCACCAGGGGAACTTGGCAGAAGGATGGAAGCCATCTGCACATAAATCACTGTGGAGAAAGAGTTTAACATGGATCTCAAAGGTTCCTAATATTCACTGCTTACACAAAGGCTGTGATTTCCTTTTAACTATGTGGAAAACTGTGAAGAAGAAGAAAAAGGGCGAAACCCCAGCAAAGGCACTGATGGAGGATGAAGTGGCTCTCTGGGTTGAAGCCATGCAGCTGACCCCATGCCCGGCCGCTGTCCAGCCCTGCAGAGGTCCAAGGCATGGGCCTCACGTCCAGCCTTCCCAGGTCTCTGGGAGGCCAGAGCAGCACAGGGCGATGGAAAGGGATGGGAGGGGTTGCAATGGAAGGATAGGGAAGACAAAGACTCTGCCCCGAGAGAGGACAGGAAAGCCCAGGAGGGTCCTGGACCAGCAGGCTTGGTTCTGGGACAAGACACACACGTTTCGGAGCTGACCTCCAGAAAGCAGCTGTATGAGTCTGGAGAAAACCAGCAAGGCTTTGGAGAGGAGAGAGCCACTGGGTTGTGAAGACTTGCAAATGAGGTCAGGGCTGAGTAAATGGCCATCCAGCCCCCTCTGTGTGATCATCTGCAAAACCAGGCTAATGACTGTGTGACTGAACCCCCTGGTGTATGCTTGGCACCGGTGCCACTGGGTATAGGTGACTCGGGTTCACAAAGGTCACACAGCTGCTGGAACAGCCCAGTACCTCACTGCCTTAGCCCAGTGGAAGTTTGTTTCTTACAAAATCCAGAACAAGGGCTCTTTATTGATAAGGTCCCTCCCACATGGCCAGGCTGCCCAGAGAGAGACCTGGGTGGACATCAGGGTCAGGAGCCTGCTGGAAGTCAGGGAAGGACACAGAGTCCTGCACGTGGCCTGGCAAAGGATGGGTCTTGGAAAGCTGTCAGGGTCAGGAGTACCGAGTTCAGCCCGCATGCTGCCAAGCCCTAAACAGGGCAGACAATCTGATAAAGGCTTTGGGTCTATTTGCTTTGAGGGGATAAATGTGAAAAACTGAACCAAATCGAAAAATGATATCAATTGTTGCTTGTGCTGGATCAAAATGTACCCCACACCTCACCCCAGCCTGAACCATCTGCTCTGCTGCCACTCGGGGCTCCCTGCATCTCTGCAGTAGCCTCCCGGGTGTCCCTGCCTCTGCCTGGCCACCCTGGCATCTTGTCCACTCAGAAAGTGGGACCCTCAAGAGCTCTCTGCCAATCTGACTCATCCTCTTGTACAGCCAGCCCGGCATACCACCGGACCCAGGCCAGCCTGCAGAACAGCTATGGCTCCCTCCCGCTTCAAGTCTCACTGTTGAGATCCCCTCTGCCCACACCTGGCCCCCTCCAGATTTTCACTGGCTGCTTCCTCACCTCCTGAGGGGTTGGGTCATGGTGACCTTCTCCACGGGGCCTGTGGTGATGCCTCCGGAGATCTGTGGCAGGCAGTAACCCCCAGTGCAGCAGCCCTTGCCCCAGCTCCTGCCCTCACAGCCATCGCCACATCCCAGAGCAGCTTATCATGTGCTCAAGTGTCCTGTTCACGGCATTTTGTCTGTCTCCCCTCAAGGAAGGGGATCCAAGCTTGGTTCATCTCCTGATGTACTCTGAAAGCCCAGGAAGGCACACAGGGTGCACCTAGCATTTGCTGAAGGGATTAATATTATCCACTAATTGTCTTTTTAGAATAAAACTGAATCGCAGGGACATAGGATTATCAGGTGAAGTCAAAAGTCTGGGGGGAGGAGCCTGTGATGGGCCCTATATCCCACTTCAAAGCTGGTACCAGGGGCTTCTGGTCTGCTTGGGATCATGTGCAAGACCTGGGCAGCCCTCCAGAGGTCCCAAGGCCCCA